GAGAATAAACTACAGGTAACAATTAGCAGGGCTAGAGGGAGGGCTAGGTGGTTAAGGTTGTTTGCTGGGTGGTCAAAAGCCCCAGAGATCAGACACTAGCATTACTGGAACAAGCTGGGCTCTAGTACGTGCCAGCAATCCCAGCTCCAAGGAGACAGAGGTAGAAAGATTTCTGGGCTTGTGCCTCCTTTTTAGCTGAGAACATGATCCCCAAGTTGGGGAGAGACCCTGCCTCAAAGAAATAGGTAGAGAGAGAAAGAGAGAGGAAGACAACATTGCCCTCTTCTGGCCTCCATGTGCACACACAGAGTGTGTAATGGAAGTTTGGTTTCTTCGTTATGAAAATATGCTATTGTTTTAATTCCAAGTGTGAGATTTTAGTTGATCGATGGTTTGTTCACACCTGGTAATTGTCAGGTGCGGGGTGTGATCTTTGCCAGCTGGTAATGGCCTTCCATGTGCTGAATGGAGAAGGATGTGGTCTAGGACTCTGAGAATATAAGTATGAGGTCAAGAAAGAGACCATATGATAGTGTTCTGAAGTGGCATTTGGTGGTGTTCAGTGGAGGTGTTTGGTGTTGGCATATGGCATGGAGCAGTTTGGAGAGACCTGAGACCAGAGACAGTGTAATGTTTTGGAGCAGACAGACGGAGAGAAATGCTTCAGGGCACAGCCGTGTGGAGGAGCCTGCCAGCCACATCTGCGGTTGACAGAGAGTGGTGTAGAGCCCTAAAGAGCTTCTTGACCCTAAATAGCCGGGAGAAGTAAAGGAGTCTGGGCCCCCTCTCCCCACTAACCTTCTCTCTCTCTTATTTATGGTTGGGGGGTTGATGGAAGGGAGGTAGAGGCCTAAACTCCCAAGTAAAGTTTTAAAAAAGACCACTACAGGTGGCATTGGCTACAGCATGCATACAAGACATAAGCATAAACAAATAATAAAACAAATAATAAAATCTTTTAAACATTTTAATAAAGTTGTAGAATACAGAGGGAGGGAACTCAAGTGTGAATCCAGCAATCAGATTAGTGATGCCAGTTTTGGCCAGAGAAGTATCTTTTCCCAGTGGGTGGCAGTTACTGCAGAGACCCATAACTGGTTTAAGTGCTGAGAATAAGTGACTGTTGATTGCTCCGCCCTAAATTTTGCTCTCCAAGGCTCAGAAGAGGGGGCAAAACAAACAAACAAAAAAAGAACTCAGAGCGGAGAGAAGGGGCACAGTGTATAAAGATGTCATACAGGTGTAAGAGTAAGTTTTATTCGCCTGATTTAATTGTCATCTCCAAGGCTTACTGTCTCAGTCTGCTAACATAGGCCTAGTCCTGGAAGCCTCCATTCAATCTAAGCTAGGCCTAGAATGTTTTCAGCCTCTGAGACTTGCTGCTGAATAAGCTCACCCTTTCTAGCTCTTTCTGATATCTGGCTGGCTGGTTTAACTCAGCTGTTCTGGCTCAAACTCCTCTCCTAGCTCTATGATTCAAACTGGTTTCTCTCAGCTTTTCACTGAATAGCTCTGCTTGGCCTCTAACTAACTCCAGCAATCTGTTCTAATCTGGCTCCTTCTCCTTTTCTGGCTTGTGATCTCTTCAGTCTCTCTCTGTACGACTACCCTGGTAAAACTGCCCCCTCTCCCTACTCCTCTGCACTCTCTTCTAAGCCTCCTTTTCCTCTCTGTTCTAGTAAGAGTTGGGCATCTCACTGTGTATGAGATACATCCTGTAAGAGTAAGCCAAAATTAACCATTTCTTAGGTTACTTGTGTCAGGTATTTTGTCTCAGCAGCAAGGCAAGCAATCAGGGTGAAGTAGGATGAAATTATTGTATATACACTAATGGAAATGACATAATGCATAATACACACTAATAAAAATCTTAAATAAAGACAAAGGTAATAATAAAAGGACAAAACTAAGGGGCAAATAAAAGGGAAAAGAGATGAAACAAAGTTAAGACACAAGAAAGGAATGTGAGGAAAACGACAAGAATATACATATGAAGTAAAAACTTAAAGTATGTAAGCAAAGTTAAAACGTATAAAGGAGTGTTAATTCAGAACATAGTTGTTCCAGAAAGAGAGCACATCCAAAGACCTTCAAGGTCTGTGTGATCCAGCTGGAATATAGACACACCTTTTATCCAGGAGACAGAGGCAAGCAGATCTGAGTTCAAGGTCAGCCTGGTATAGAGCAAGTTTCAGGTAAAGAAAAATTTAGGTGCAGTGGTACACGCCTTTAATCCCAAACAAGGAAAGTAAAGTTAGTTTGTAGAATGAAGGTAACCCATGTTTGAAAGTGATGTCTAACTGAATGGCAGAAACAGTGAAATCAGAGAAAGACTGACAGAATAGGGTAAGCCCAACTCTCATGAGAAGAGGGAGGAAAGGGAAGCTACTTAAGTGGCAATACAGAGAGAGAAGAGGCAGTTTTACTGGGACAGTAATAGACAGATTGCAGAGAGAGAGAGAGAACTGGAGTGAAGACCAATGATCCAGAGAATGAGGAGACAGAACACTAGAAGAGGCAGAAAGGAAAGAGAGATTGAATCAGTCAGCTAGGAGAGGAGTTTGACCCAGTCAGCCCAGAGCTCACTAAAAACAAGTAAGAATGGGCTTATTCAGCAATAAATCGGAGAAGGCCTAGGTTACATTGCACAGAGGCTAGAAGCTTCCAGGGCTAGGCCTAGGCTAGCAGACAGCGGCAACAAACATCTGAGACAATCACTGATACTTTTACATAAAAGAGGAACAAAAATTAAAATATCAATAAAACGTAATATACTGAAAGGAAAAAGGTGAGTGGGAAAACCAGAAACTTCCTCCGGGCTCTCAGACTGTAATCTGCCAGGTGGAGGAGGGCAGCGAGTCAGTGATGAAACCTGTTGAAGAGCTTCCTGTTTATGCAGGGGTCTGCCTCAGTTAAGGCTGGGCTGCGAGCGTCAGGGATGCATTCGTTCTATTCACTTCCCTCTTTTGTGTGTCCTGACAGCTGCTGCTGGCCACAGTAAGCTTTGTGGCCTGTGGCTCAGCAGCTTCCCAGTCTGTAGATGCCCACCGCTTAAATTTGTGCATCCAGGAGTGGCGAACATCCAAGCCTAGGGGTGTCCCCGGCGTGAATCAGAGTGGAGGAAAGGATTTCTGCATGAGTCGGGGGTGGCAAGACGTCTCTCTGGTTCCGGGCATGCAGTCCCAGGCCAGCAGCAGATCTCCTTGTTGGAAGTAGAGCCCTCTGTCAGCTCTGGGCTCTTGGTGCCTTGTTTCATTAAGCAGCAAACCAGAGGCAACTCCAGAGGCTGAGGAATCCGCCAGCCAGGACTTGGATCTCTCTGTATCTTTACGGTGATCCACTGCCTGCACCCAGCGCTCAAGGAGGTGGGGGCTGGGGGGCGCTGAGCTCCCGCCCCTATAACTTCCCAGCCGGTCCCTTCCGACCCTCCCCCTTTGCATCTGCGTCTGGTAGCTCACTGCCACTCTGGCTCTGTGGCCGAGCGGCTCCATGCTCGCTGATTTGTGGCTGACTGTTTCTTGTTTTCAAAGTCCCAGAGTAGCCTAGTCTCAAACAATAGCTCCTTTCTCGACCAGGCATCTGGTGTAGCACTCCTGTAGCACCGCGTTGGGTAGGGGTTTGGATGCAGGGATTGGATGCAGGATTTCTTCTCCGCAGCTAACGGGCCCCACCGGAGGAGGCATTATCTCCCCTCCCCCCACTGGATTAAGGCTAGCGAGAACTGTGGGTTTATCCTGCAGCTGGGACTGCCAGTCTTTTGTCACCAGGGCTGACAGGCTTACGCGTGGTTGGGGCTCCAGCTCTTCTTTCCCCCCTGCGGGGACTGGAACTGCAGATTGCTTCCGCCTGTCCTTGCCAGAGTCTTTCTGTTTTACCATCCTTTTTAATCTGTGCTGTCACCTTTTTCTGATTCTCTTCCTTTCTTTCTGTTCTGGGTCTGTCCTTTGTTACCCTGACTCTTCTATCCCGGAGTTGCATGAAGGAAGCCTCCAATCCGCCATCTTGCCCCAGAAAACAAACATTTTCTCTTCTGATACAGTGGGGAAGTGGGTATGTGGAGTGGGGGAGAGGAGACTACGAAGAAGACGAGGTAGTATCAATGAGACACCAAGTTGCTGCTGGAGAGATGTTTTCCACATCCTTCAGTTTCAGATGCGATTCCCCTAATTAGGTAATTTCTACTGCCTGACTAAAATACCCAGACTAGATCCCCCTATCCTTAATTTGCAAATACATAGGGGGGATCAGGGCTACTGGCTCTTTTCCTTATTTTACCATCTGGGTAGGATCCTGGGGGGGGGGGGGGGTGTCTAGTAGTCTTTTTTTCCACACACACATTTTTTCATTACTTTAGTCACGTGGCTTTTTTCTTTGGGAGAACTAACAGTAGCATACAGATATCTGTAACACACTCCACAAAGGCTAATTAATGCAACTGATTGCATTTAGCTGCAGGAGCTTATTGTCTCCCCCTGCCCCCTGCTTTGTTATCTTAAATATTTTTTATGTGAAAACAACAATGTATTTTATGCCAAGCCACAAGACTATATCTTGTCTACATAAAAAAGATATTTTAACTTTACATTAATAAGAAATTAAGTTTTGGTTACAGCCAATAGAAAACTGCCAATGTTAAGTGATCACCAAGCAACTTTGTAAAAATTAACGTCTGGCTCTCCTGTAAACAGACCAGAAAACTTGCTGGTGGAGCGGACCCCTTCGGTAAATGCTTAGCTGTTACAGGATGGGTGGAGGTGTGCATGATGCTTGAGATGATCGTCATTGTACGGGGTGTGTGCTCACCAAGTGGTGACCGTCCTGGCACACTTATCAGGGATTATCTTGATTAGGTTAATAAGAAAAGTGGAAAGATCCACTTTCAAAGCAGGGACTTGGGGCTTGGGTCCCAGACTGCATTAAAAAGGAGAAAGATCTGTGAGCAGCGGCGTCCTTGGCTGTCTTCTTCCTGACCTCGGAAACAGTATGACCAGCTGCTTCAGGCTCCTGCTGCCTTGACGTTCCTGCATGGTGGACTGTGCCCTGGAACTGTGAGCCAATATGAACCCTTCCTTTCTTAAACTGCTTTCGTCGGGGTGTTTTTCACAGCCAGAAAAGTAGCTAAGTTTGTTTCTCAACTATCCTAAGCCTATCAGCCTTACTGAAGCACCAACTGTCTTTTACTCCTTAGCAGCAGAGACAGCTGAAATCATCTCACTAGCAGTTTAAATTCAACTGTTGCTTTCAACAGAAGCACGGCGGCCATGCAAACTTGGCATGCCTGTGTCTCTTCTAAGCTATTCATAGATGCAAATAAAAACAACAGCAAGATCATACTTCTATCTAACTTTCTATAACCCTTCGCTGAACACATTTGCTCAGAGGGACAAGGCTCTTGGGTGAGGTTCATTCTTTTCTTACCATATGTTGAATGTGCTTATATAAAGTTGTTATTTATTCTTTCACTCATTCTTTTATTTATGTGTGTATGAGGAGGGCATATTCATACCATGGTATAATGTGGATGTCAGAGGACATCTTCTGGGAGTTGCCCGTCTCGTTCTACTATATGGGGTCCAGGAATTGAACTCAGGATGGCAGGGCTTGGCAACAAGCACCCTTCTGTGCTCAGCCAGCTCACTGGCCTCTGAAGTCAATTGCTATTAATATACCTTGTATTAGATGATAATGGGATAAGGGAAGGAACGAGAGTGTTTTTCAAGTCTGTATATAAGTGTTGCGCCCAAGTCTCGCAGACCCCAAAGACCACCAAGGAGCTGCAACACACAAGGGTCCTTTCTGCAAACTGGAGCTTGGGCCCACACCGTCACCAATACAGCTGATCAAGTGTAGATCCCTGAGCTCAGGGAGAGAGGTTTTTATTGAGGTTACAGCCAGGTTCAGGGAATTCCAACTGGGCAGTTCTATGATTGATTGACATTTAGCAAAGCTTGGTCGCTAAAACCCGATTGATTGAGTCTGGAGGGCCAAACTGGAATTGTTTACTCAACCTATTGTAAAGAACACCTGGGTAAAACTCCAGGTGTTCACGGATTAGCCATTGCTAGGGGTGATGGTTCAATATTACCAGAGGTGAGTGGTCCAAGCACAATTTTGTGAGTTTTTCTCCTTTTCTGAAACTGGAGTTCATGCCCAGGTCATTTACCTTTAAGGTGGAGTTTTGCTGTTGTTGTTTGTTTTTTCAAAAATGGGGTTACACAGGTCTCACATAAGCATGTTCATAAAGCATGTGTGTGTAATGCATACACATATGTACATGTATAGCAGCAGGGACATCTAGGAAAGAAGAAGGAGGCAGGCTGGAGTTCATGCCAGAGCTGCAGTGATAGCTCTCCATTGTTGACTTTCTTCAGGCCAGGCCCAGTGTTACTGCTTCCCTTCCTGAGTCAGTTCCGCCCGTACTGGACAGTCTGCTTTCCTTAGAGACACCTGGTTTTACTCTTTGATCACGCCTGCCAAATACATTCACAGCACACCTACACTAAGGTTGAGTCAATGTAAGAGAGAGCTTAGGCTGGCCAGTGTGGTGAGCAATCAGATCATCAAGGACAGGAAGAAAATAAAAAATATGTTTTAGCAGAAGATGAGAAAAAAAATTGAAAAATATGAAACGAGGTGAGACTTTCAATATACTACAGCATAAGGCCAAGTCAAGATAATCAGGAAATAAAGTGACCTAAAACTAATAGGAGGGGCTGGGGTTGTAGCTCAGTGATAGAGCACTTACTTCCCTCACCTGTCTGAGACCAGGTTCCATCCTGAGCACAGCAAATGACCAAGGAGATGATGACGGTGATGATGACTATAAGAATAGTTTGATACAGTCTAGAGAGCTCAGGAATAAAACTATACACAGAAAGGTATTAGCCTAGGTAAAAAATTACCCAGAGGAATCGACTTTTACTCCTTTGTGTAATTATTTTAAATTCCTCTTAGGTGGCTGTGTTAGTCAAATTTGACCTTGTTCTAACAAGTGCCCCCAGAGAGACAGTTTAAAGGAGGAAGAATTCATTTTTTGCTCACTAGTTCAGAGGTCTATCTTTGATCACTAGGGCCCATTGCTGTGGGTGTGAGGTAAGGCAAAATATGGCAGTAAGTCTGAGGCTGTTTTTTTATTTTTTTTCTTGGAAATATATTAGAGAGAGTGTGAAAGGAACGCACCAGGACCAAGACCTGTCTTTTAAAGCCACACAGCCAGCAACCCATTTACACCAACTAAATTCCAGCATTTACAGTTCAATCAGCTGTCAAGAGTCTTGTAAACTTCAGTCCATCAAAGGGTTAAAGCAGTGATTAGCTCAACTCTCTTATGATCTAATCTTCTCTGGAAACACCCCAGACACACCCAGAGGCGGGTTCCACTAATCTCCCAGGAACCTCTTAATCCAATCAAGTTGACAGTCAAGATTTGCCACAGTGTTCTTGCATATTTAATGAAGGGATTAAACCAACAGGTATTTAAGGAATGGGTGGGCCACTCTGGGCTTTCATAAATCCTGTGTCTCCACGAGCAGTTCAGTTGGGCCTCGTGGGATCCAGGTGACTACAGTATGGATGTAAAGTGTACATTTGGTAAGTTTCTCTCCTTTGTTTCCCCAAACCTCAGAACTTTCACATCACAGTCATGACTGTCACACTGTTTGAGAGAGAGCTGGTTTCTAGTGCCAGTTTGGGTGGGTAGATGAATGACTTTTTGAAATCTTGTAACTTACAATTTACAGTGACAGCCAGGGCTCTTACAAAGGAGGCTTCTACTTAGAGTATTAAAGTTGACACTTTGAATGAAAAGAAAATGAAGTGTATGATGTTTAATTTTATGAAAATGTGTCATTCCAAAGTTCAACTTTTGTACAATAGTTTAACTTAATCTTTTACCTTTAAAAAAAAAGTACTGTTTCATTAATTTGCATGTTTCTAGTTCCCACTGCTTTCTGTCTTCAAGTACTATTGTGGAAATTCTGTCCTTTCTTGCTTTTAGTCTTACATGATTATCATCTTTTCTAAAATACACGTTTAAACCTGTGCATGTCCTTATTGGTATGGCTTAAGCTATATCCCTGAAGTAAAAATACATAGTCATCATTATGTGTCTGGGCTTTTAACATGGAGCAGACAAAACAGGAGTTCATGCCAGGAAAGATAACTTCATACTCCTTTGTCCATCTTTCCTTCACTAGGCCTGCTGGAAAAAGAAGCCCGGAGAAGGAGAATTATTCTGAACCAGAATCAAAAGGACACTCTTCATGCTTGGTTTGAAAAGAATCCCAACCCAGATTTAGCCACGAGGGGACATCTGGCTAAGGAACTCGGCATCTCTGAGTCTCAAATTATGGTAGGCGTTAGGCCCCTCTTTCTTTTTGAGCCAAGGAAAAGAGCAAAGCTAGGCTAAACAATTCTTATAGGTGGGCTATATTTTATTAACTTTACTCCATATGTAATGGATAGATAAAACAGAAATTTTGCTTATGTCTTATTGAAATGAGCCAGCACTGAGGGAAAGGAAAAGCCAGCTCATGGTTTCCACATAGGAGATAATGAAATTATTATCTTGAGAATTATAGAATTTAAGAAATTATGTCATCAGCGTAGCAATAGAACGTTTCATCATTAGAGCATAAGTAATAAGTATTAAATTGTAAGTAAAAGGCTATTTAAGTTCTCAGGTAGGCAGAGCCTGAGAACCTGAACTTAATTTTACCTTATGATCAAAATGAAGACTTAAAAACAAAATGGCTACAGTTATGCTAGACAGTAAGGCCTAGACATGCTGGAAATGTCTTAATGTTGGTGTGTCTCAACACATACTTCGTGAAAACACAGTACGTGCAGATCTCATGAAAACTGGTTGTTTGAATGCTAGTGATTTTTTCTCCTTTATTTAATATTTTGTTTTGCTTTCAAGACAGGGTTTCTCTGTGTAGCCTTAGGTATCCTGATTCACTTTGTAGACCAGGCTGGCCTTGAACTCACAGAGATTTGCCTGCCTTTGCCTGGGATTATAGGCATGTGCCACCACGATCAGCTATTAATAATTTTTAACTTATTCTGTGACAACTTCATACATCTTCTCTGAATTCCCTTTTTATTCCCCTCCCAGTCCCTCTGGACATCTTTTCTCAACATTTCCCCTTCCTACTTGCATTTTTTTTTTTTTTTTTTTTTTTTTTTTTTTTTTTTTT